CCCCAGTAGATAGTTGTATGTCATAGTTGCACATCCTTCTAGTTGCTGTATGTGGGACGTGGCCTCAGCATGGCCGGAGAAGTGGTGTGTGGGTGTGCACCCAGGATCCGAACCCGGGCCGCCAGTGGCAGAGCGCCCACACTTAACTGCTAAGCCACGGGGCAGGCCACCCCCCTCCCCCACTCTCTTTATAATCACTCCTTCCTTCAACTATTAGGTTTTCTGGTTGTACCTCCCACCTGTTCTCTTAATCTTCACTCCCACCCGTTCTCTCAGGTTACAGCTCATCCTTTATTAGCAGGAAACAGGCTGTGAACAGATACTGGTCCCCTTGCCAAACAACCACCCACCTCTGCATCTCAGCTGGCCAAATTGTCACCTGGGAGGATGCACTTAAATGCCCCAGCTTACAGGGATAAACGAACTGGCAGCTCAGCACCTCCAAACACAGTAAACTCAACCCTTCTAAGTGGTTTACTAAGATGTTCACATGAAATTAAGACCCCCCTCCACAATACCGGTGCTACCAGGTGTTCTGCAAGGAATGACCAAAAGAGGAAGTTTAATCTCAATCAGAACTTCTCAAACATCTCTTGGAGTCAGCTGTTCTCTCCATCTCCACTGCAATTACTTTTTGTTTGTTTGGTTTTGTTTTGTTTTGTGAGGAAGAGCAGCCCCGAGCTAACGTCTGTGCCTATCTTCCTCTATTTGGTATGTGGGATGCCTGCCACAGCATGGCTTGACGAGTGGTGCATAAGTCCGCGCCTGGGATCCGAACCAGCAAACCCCGGCCTGCGGAAGCAGAGTGCATGAACTTAAACCCCACGCCACCGGGCCGGCCCCATCCACTGCCATTACTTTAATTGAGACTCTTATCACCTGAAATCCAAATTCTGAAACAGTTTCCAAGAATGCCTTTCTACTACTGCTTTGATTCAGTGGTTCTTGAACTTCAACATCCATTACACTCACCTGGAGGGCTTGTTAAAACACGTTGCTGGGCCTCACCCCAAGTTTCTGACTCAGCAGGCCTGGGGTGGTCCCAACAAATTCCCAGATAATATTCATTCTCTTTAATTCATTCTGGATACCACTCTCAGAGCACTCTTCCTAAAACAGATGCTCATCATACTGCCTCCTCCGATTAAGAACCTAAAATGGCTGCCCACACCTACCACATGAAGTTCAAACTCCTCTGCCCAGCCCCACCATACTTGTCCAAGTAATCTGGAAGGATGAGCATGGCTATTTAATAACAGCCAACTATCTGGCACCAGGATCATCAACATGTGTGCTGAGAAACAAAGGCAGTGGGTGCTACGAGCGCGGTTGT